AAAACAGGTATAAGCTGTCATGCAAACAACATGTCCCCTGGCACTGCCTGGCCCAGGCTCCACCACTCCCTGAAAGGACCACTGGCTCAAGGGACAACTGTCCTGGCAGTGATTCCTTCTCTGCATGTACAATATTTAATAGCAATCACAGCTACTTAAGGACAGGCTAAATCTGTGTGAATCAAGATAGGAAGGCCTTAAAGCATTTGTTTCATGGCTGTTAAATGCCTCTTAGGAGTCGATTATTAAGATGCGGAATCCCGGGTGCTAAGGCACACCAGGCTAAGTGCACAGAGTGCTGCACCTTTGATGCAGCACAAAAAGCAACTCTGAAGGGAAGGATCCCTCTGAAAGCCTCTGTCAAGGAAAAGGAGAGTCTTTGGGAGGCAGCAAGAAAGCAAATGTACATAAAAGAGTTGCTAATTATTTTGGAACTGGGATCATCCAAATGACAGCACTGTAATCCTATTTCAGCAGCCCCCAGGAATGACTAGCACAGATTTACTATCACACACGACTGACATAGTTTTCTGTTTCTTTACCAAACCTTTTATATCCTCAGTCTTTTGAAGCCTCCTCAGAGCCAGCTCAGGCCTGTTAACTATTCCATAGAGGGAATATAATTCCATATATATTTGTGCTCACTGTATCTCTAGACACAAAGCTTGAATAGGTATGAAAAGATCCATCCCTGAGCACAGTACTAAGCTGTAACCAAAGCTGGAGAATCTCCTCATCTTTTGACGACCAGTTTCCTGCCTGATCCCTCCCTTTCTCTCAAATGCACACACTGAGCCCAGCAGCCATCACAAGAACTCGTGCAGAACTACAGTGGAGCTGGCACCAAGCCACACAGCACGATTTCTTCATTTTTTAAGGGACTGTTTCTGACTCATGCTCAAGCAGGACAGCCTAAAACCAAGGAATCCCCCAACATTACAACACAAAGAACAGTTTCTACACCAGATCTTCACAGAAAGTCAGCAATCTTTGGTTGAGGAAAACTATACTTTAGTGCAAATTTGTGATTTTTAACCCAAAAATATATCTGCTTTCTGTGAAAGATCAGATTATTTACTTAAAGTAAATTTGTGTTATCCTTTACAATACAGTAAAAGATTAATTTGGAATAAGGAAAAGACCCCATTTTCCTACTAGCAATGCAGAGAGATGCTGAGATACAACAGTCCTTCTCTTTCAGTGGAGAGAGCTAAATACTGGAAATTTTGAAAATATTGCTAGGAGTCTGTCCTCCCTATATGGCACGTCATAGCCTCTTGAACAGGGAAATGTTCGTAAGCCGGCACTGAAACAACAGCATTCCTTCTGCCAGCCTGGTGCTTCATCCTCTCGCACAATTCGTGACGCTGCATAGGGCACGGACAGACCTGCGCCACGAGAAACACTGCAGAACTGGCTTCTGCAAATGCTCTGCCGCCTGCTCTCTTACAGTCCTTTTCCCTACCCTTGTTCTGTCTTATTTACCACAAGGTTTGTACTGATAAACAGGCAGACAACACAAAAATAATGGCTATAAAAACTATGCATATGACAAATAACCATGAAACCTGGGGGAAACATTTGAACATTCCCCAGACTCCCCTTCTCCCTAACCTTTTGTTACCTTATTGCTAGATCACACACTCCTCAGACCAAGAAGTCAAACAAAATGCTATTAAAATTTGTTACATTAGTCTCCTTTTTCTCCATTTCTGTGAAAAAAGGACAAGTTATTTTAAGGCTTACCTCAATTTTGTGTTCTTTCAAATATTTTTGCAAGAGGCTTCCCCCCCCCCCCCCCCCCCCCCCCCCCCCCCCCCCCCCCCCCCCCCCC